CCTCCTCCTGACCACCAGGACCATCTGGCTCCGGCTGCCCCCCGGGGCTGACCCCAGCCACAGGTGGCTCCTCGCCCTCGCCACACTTGGCCATCTTCTGTGCCAGCATTCGCGCCGTCTCCTCCTCCAGCTGCCGGATATCCTCCATCGTCAGGTCCGTCCACTCATCCTGCCAGCACCAGGCTTGGCGGTGGGCACGCAGCATAACCTTCCTCAAACCTGGGGGGAGAAGGGGGAAAGCGAGTCCAGTGTGATCCCATGGGCTGCCCAAACGACTCCACAGCAACCCACAGGTCTGAACTCACCCACGTCATGGATGAACTGCTCGATCTTGGACTGCATCCCCCAGTATCGGAACTCCACCTTGCAGAGCTTGTAGGCGCACATGAGGGGCCCGCTGGTTGCTGCTGCCTCCAGCCAGTCATCCCCCAGTGGCCCCCGGCCTGTCTTGGATGAGTGATAGAGTTTGGGATCCTCCTCGGGCTTGTATTCCCCGGGGGAGATGGGATCACGCACAATGTCAATGGTGTCTGTGGGGGGAACAGCGCTTGTCACCCCATAGCGCTTGGCAAGGGGGCACATGTAGGAAAACAAGGAAAAATGGACAAAAATAAGGTCAAATTATGAGCCATGCACCCAACACAGCTGGCAGCAAACACTCTCTGTCCTAAAATCTGTATATATAATATTCTATAATCTATAATCTTGGAGTTCTGGAATCGTAGAATCCTGGAATGGTTTAGGTTGGAAGGGACTTTATCGATCATCTCATTCCACCCCCTGCCATGGGCAGAGACACCTTCCACTATCCCAGGTAGCTCCAAACCCCAGGTCTTGGATACTTTCAGGGATGGAGCACCCGCAGTTTCTCTGGGCAGCCTGTGTCAGGGCCTCACCACCCTCACAGGGAAGAATTTCCTAATAAAACATATAAAATCCCACGGCTGGAACATCACAGATGCCTTTGGTGCAGCCAAAGACATCTCCATCCCCACGTGGGATCCCAATCTGGCACCCCAGGGAGCGGCAGAGGGAGGAAGGGTCTGGGAGTGTGGGGAGAGCCAGGGCTGACACACATACACGCATTAGCTGGCAGATCTGACAGCTGCAGAGTGATCCCAGCCACCCTGGGGGACATGGGGGTTGAGGATGGGGACAGTGTGTGGGGCAGCTCGGCACAGCTCCCAGCTCCCCTCCCCCAAAAAACCCAAGGGTCCCCAAAAACAGGGCACAGCAAAACCACCATGTGACACAGGAACCTCCAGAGAGCCAGGAGCAGGGAGGGCCCTGAGCCACATCTCCAAACAAAGGTGACCTTTCCCAAAATGAGGGTGAGCTCCCCCCAGACAAGGACGACCTCCCAAGACCAGAGAAAGGCTCCTGAACAACACCCAGGAAAACATGATCCAACAACCATTCAGGCTCAATCCAGCACAAAATCTGCTAGAATTTGGCTTTTGCAGCCCTGTCTCCAGGTCATGGTCTGGAGGATCCCAGGGCACCCCACTGGCTCCCAGTACCATCCGGCAGCACTGTCCCCATTTCCAGGCTATGTCAAACCCATTTATTTGCACCCCTTGATGTCCCCAAGGTGCTGTCAGCCTCTTTTCCTCCAGCTCAGGCTGAAAAAAAGGGGAAAAGGAAACTAGAGATGCCCTGAATCCACAAAAATGATGCAATGCACAGCAGGATGCCAAGTATCTTGGATAACAGCAGCAAAGAGCTGGGATAGGACCTGCTGTCCCCAAGCAGCTCCTGGCAGTGTCGTTCCCATCATAATCCAACTCCCTTTGCTTTTGCCACTGGGAGAAACCTGCCAAGGAAGCAGTTATCCCTGCGGATCACCCAGACCATGTTTTTCCATTGCCCTTTGAAATGTGAGAGGGGTTTAAATCTGTCAGTGCTACAAGACACCAGTGCAGAGAAAATCCCAGTGGGATCCACACTGGGGCTGGTTCCACTTCAACCCTTCTCCCTGTGGAAGGCAGCAGCCACTGGAGATGCTGAGTGCCCTGTGGAATGCCCATCGGACAGGCACAAGAGTGGAAAACCAGGCAGTGGGCACGGAGCCATGCCCTGATGCTGTCTGCTTGCCTCTGGTGGCTTCCTGGGGGCAGTAGGGACAGAATTCCTGCCCCCAGGTCCCAGCCATCAGTATCCCGGCCGGACATCCCCAGTGCCGCGAGAGCCAGGGAGAGAAATAGGTCAGATGAATCATTTCCTCTGAGTGCCTATTTTGGGCCTCCATTTTAAGAGGCAGAGCGCCACACTCCACAATCTGGCGCCTAAACTGACCATGTCCACACCACTGAGAATGGGAACTCGATGGAGAGGGAAGAATCCCACTCCGAGCTCCCCGTTCTGCCCACCACTCTCAGTGGAAAGGAGCCAGACAGTGATCTGGAGCAAAGCCCCGGGGAGAGGGGAAGCAGGCCAGGGAGTAGGAAAATGGGGACATGCTTCTCCAGCTCTCCCTGCTCCAGCTGATCCAAAATATCCCACAGGACCCAGGTGTGGGGTCCCATGTATGCCAGGAGAGACTGAGAAGGCAAATCCATGCCAGAATAAGGCTGGGACACAGAAAGAGAGGGGAGCAGGCTGGCACTAGAAAGGAGAAGCTGCAAACAGAAATAGAGGCAAGGGAAGAGGCAGAGGACAAAACTGTCCCTGAAAATATCTTTAATGTGGAACTTAATTCAGCAGCGCTGAGAGGGAGCAGGCAGGGAGCTCAGGGCAGGGAGCTTGGGGCAGGGAGCTCAGAATCCAGGGAGCTCTTCCCTGCCAGCATCCCTGAAAGATGAGGACCAGCAAGAAGAGTGAAGTTGAGCCCCTAAGGCCCCATCAGAACTACACACCCATCCCAGAAACACTGTGTGGGAATCCCAGCAGTCACAGTGTCCTGCCCAGTTCCCCAAGCCAGCCATACCCACCCAAAATCCTCTGCCTCTTCTCCGCTGCACTCAGGTTGAAGATGTTGGTCTGCTGCCCCGCATCCGGGCGGTAGTACGTCTCGATCTCAATGGAAAACTTCTCCACGAAAGGACACGTGTACCTGGAGAGGCACGGGACTGAGCCCAGGGGCATGGCCGGTCCTGCAGCCCACCCCGCTGCCTCCAGCTCCAACCTGGTTCGTGTGTACGGATAAGCATTCCAGGACTCCTCCTCCACCTGGAGCGCAGCTTTGGGGAGCAGTGCCCGGAACCAGCTGGGGATGTGGGAGCCAACGTGGTAGACCTTGTGGGTGTACTGACCGCTGCCCCCGGGGCCATCGCTGTAGGGTCGGTTAGCCAGGATCTCCACACCGCTGCCCTCGCCACTCGACTCCTCCCGGCTCTTCTTCTGCACAGAGACAATGGCCCAGTGCGGCCCCTCCAAGCCCTGCAACTCCCACGGGGCGCCCAGGGTGCCTGTACACTCCCATCCCCATGTGCCCGCATCCACCGGCCCCACACCTGCTCACAGGACCCCCTGCTTAGCTCGGTGGTTCCAAACTCACCCAAAGCCTCAGTGACACCCCTGCAACCTGCCAATTCCTTGGGATCAGCCTCAGCCCCCCCGTGCCCCTCCAGGCTCCACGCTCAGCCACACAGCTCCCCAGTTCCCCACACTCAGCCCCACAGCCCCCTTACACCCTCCAGCACCCCATGCTCAGCCTCAGAGCCCCCTGTGCACCCCCAGGGTCAGTCCCTGCACCCTTCATGCCTCCCCACAGCCCACTACATCCATCAGGCTACAATCTCCAGCATCTCTCACAACCCTGCACCTCCTCAGTCACAGTCCCCATGTCCCTGCACCCCTCCAGCTCCCCATGCCCAGCCCCACAGCCCTGTGCAACCCCTCAGTCTCGGCCCTTGGACCCCACACCCCTCAGGCTCAGCCCCACAAACCCCAGACCCGTGCAGCCCCCCGGCTCATCCCCAAACCCTTGCAACCCCACCCCGCTCAGCCCCGCAGCTCCCCCGAGCCCTCATGCTCAGCCCCACATTCCCACCTGGATCATGTACAGCTGGGCCACCTGGTACTCCTCCAGGCTCATGGGCAGCAGGATGTGGTACTCCTTGATCAGCATGGCGGTGGCGGGGCACCGCGGGGCACCGCGGGGGCAGCTCCTGAGGGGGTTTCTGTTACACCGGACCGGGCCGGCTTCGGGACAGCCCGGGCCGGTTCGGCATCCCTTCAGAACCGCTCGGGGCACCCTCAGCTCAGCCCGGTACGGGTTCGGCCCGTCTCAGACCTGCTCCGTCCCCGGGTTCGGCCGAGTCCGGTATCGCTCGGCTCCGGGTTCGGCTGAGTGCGATACCGCTCGGCTGTGCTCGGTGCCGGGTTCGACCCGGCTCGACACCACGCTCGGCTGAGTCCGGTACCGCCCGGCACCGCTCGACCCCAGGTTCGGCCCGGCTCAGAAAAGCTCGGCTCCGGGTTCGGCGGAATCTGGTACCAGTCGGCTCCGGGTTCGGTTCAGTCTGGTACCGCTCGGCCACCCTCGGTCCCACGTTCGGCTCAGTCCGGTACCGCTCGACCCCTCTCGGCGCCCGGTTCGGCCCGGCTCGGCCGCATTCGGCTCGGCTCCGTTGCCATGGCAACGCGGCCCCCTCCGCTCCCCCCGCCCGCCCGGTCCCCGCCGCCCCCCGGCCCCACCAAACCTGCGCCGCTCCGCACCGGCCCCTCGGATCGTGACATCACAGCCCGTTCCCACGGCGACAGTCGTGACGTAGGGAGGTGAGGGGGGGGCCCCCGTGACGTCAGAGAGCGGAAGGCAGCGAGCGCCACTCACGGGCGCTCCGCGTGTACCGGCACCGCCGCCCCGGAAAAACCCAGTGTTTTATTTAAAAAGCCACTTCCTAAAGTGATCGGCGAGTGGCTTGATCACTCCTGCACCTCTCAGCTCCGGGACACCCACCCAGCGCGGCTCCAAGCCCTCCCCCCGACTCCTCCACCTCTACCCCGCGTCCCACCACCGCCATCGGGACCCACCCCCGCGGGGACACACCGAGGCCAAGTCCCAACATTGTCCTTTATTTATAAAAACACGCATTTATAAAGAGCGGAGAGCGCGGGGAGGGGGGACTCGGGCAGCACGGCGGCCCCCCCACCCCCGCCGCCACCACCGGGAGGTCCCGGGGGGTCCCGGGTGGCAGCTGCCGTTACGTGCGGGCGTTTCGCTCTGTCTCTGCCAGGCACTCCCTGACCAGCGCCCGGGCGTGGATGATCCCTGCGGGGAGAAGCACAGGGACACCTCGAATCACCCTCCAGTCGCTCCCCGCGGGGCTGAGGAGCCTCGGGGGCGCAGCCCCGCGGCGGCCCGGTTCCACACCCTGCCCCTACCCCGCTTCAGCCGCTCCATGGCGCTCTTGCTGCCGGCGTAGGTGGGCCGGATCTCCTTCCCCATCTCCTCGATGACCGAGAGCAGGTCGGTGTAGGTGCTCTGCGAGCCCTGTGCCCCGGGGGGCTTCATGGCCTGCGGGAACAGGACAAGCAGGGACGGAGGGGCTGGGGGCCGCCTCCGCCGCCGCGCCCGGCCCCACCGGCCCCGGCCCCGCGCCTCACCTGCACGTAGCCCATGGACGGCGGCCCGAAGTCATTGAAGAGCGGCCGGAAAGGGGCGGCGGCGCCAGGGACGGAACCGGAGGGCGACGGGACACTCGTGGCTGCGAGAAACCGAGGGTCACGGCCGCACTCCGTCTTCCGCGGTACATCCCTCATCTGGCACCATCCCTTCCCGTGGTACCCCCCTCCATCCCTCCGGTCCCTCTCCGCTCCCGGTGTCCCCCGTCCCCCGCGGTTACCGCGGCGTTCTCTCACCGGCGGACGGTGCCCCGGGCCCCGGCGGGGCGGGGCTGGCGCTGGCGGCTCCGGGGGTAGCGGGGGCGGGAGCGATAGGCTTGTAGGACATCCCCGACGGCCGCCCGCCGCTCCCGGATCCCCTGAGCCCCGCGGCGGGGGTCGGCGTGCGGCCCCCGCGCTCGCCCCGCCGGTTGTATCGCCGGTGCCCGCCTCTCTTCAGCTCAGCTCGGCCCCGCTCGGCCCGGCGGGAAGCCGGGAACCGGAGCGGAGCGCGGCGGCCCCGGTTCCCGGTAGCGCTGCGCGGCCCCGGCCTGACCCGGGTCTCTCCCCCCTCCGCCGCCGCCGGCGCTCGCGGTGATGACGCAGGCGCGTCACGAGCGAGACGTCATCACGCCGCCGCGCGCCCGCCGGTCGGTCACCGTGGAGACACGCGGCGTCGGCCCCGCCCCTCGGTGCCTCTCCGACCACGTGACTGCTGGCTAGGCCACGCCCCCTCGCTCGGCGGGGACATCTCGGTGTCACGTGACCGAGCGGCGGCACCGCTTCGGGGGCCCGGGGGGGACACCGGGAGCGGCGCCATCGGCACCGCCGCGCTCCCCCCGCCGCACAGCCCCGAGCCGGCGCCGGTCAGGGCGTCCCGACTCTGCGGGGGTGAACCCCGGCCCGGGTTTTGGGGAACCGGCCCCACCCGCCGGCCGTGCCTTCCCCGGAGCCCCGTGCCCGTGATCCCGGCTCCCTGCGGGGTTCCCGTGAGACACACTGGGAGTCCAGGGTTTTGGGGGATACCAGTGGATGGCATGATCACGAATAAACTCTTTGGAAACAACATAAAACACAAACCAAAAGTCTGTAGAGAGAGTTTTATCATTTCAAAAGGGCAAAATTGGCCCCAAAACTGCAGCCAGGGCAGGGAGGGTACCTACAGCAGCCCTGCCTGCAGCTGGCTGAGGCCCTTCCACCCAGTAATGCTTTATTTCTCTCCTGGAGGGTCTCCTTGCTGGGCTGCCAGGAGTCTCCTCTGTGCTGGGGGCTGCCAGAACATCCATGAGGGTCTGTGCCAGCCCCAAAAGGGGAGGGACGCCTCACCCTAGGCTGGTCTGAGGTGGGTCTGAGCTCAAACCATGGTGATGGGGCAGGTTATGCTGTGCAGTCCGTATTAAACCTGGTGTGGAGGGAGCCTGAGGGGCTCAGTGCGGCACACAAAGTGGGAATGGAGGCTGGAGGGATGAGCAGCAGGGATGGGGAACAGCTGAAGAAGAGGGGACCATGATGGTGTGACTTTTAGGATGAGGTCCGGGTGGGGAGGGGGATGATGCAGGGAGAGAGCAGAGATGAGGGCGAGAGTAGTTGAAGCTTGGCTGAGCCTGTGCAGAAAAGGGTCCTGACTTTGGCCCCAGTGCCTCCCACCACGGTCAGACCTCAGCATCGGAGCAGCTCCCCGCCCAGCCTCACCCCAGGCACGGGCACCACTGTGCCAGCACTGCCCCAGCCCCTGGAGCTGGGGGTCCCTCTGTGGCCCCCTCGTCTTCGTAAGGCACGGGGGGCTCAGGTCCCGTGTTGGCACACACCGCCCTCAGCGCGACATCATCCGTACAAACTCTGCCGGGGGAAACACACACGTGGAACATCCCACATATCCCTGGGGGTGCTCCTGGCCCCTTCCCTGCTCCTACCTTCAAAGTCCACCAGGCCATCACCATTGAGATCTACATCCTTGAGGATCTCATCCACCTCCCGATAGTTGAGCTGCTGCCCCAGGAGCTTGCGCATGGCCTCCCGCAGCTCCGCCATGCTGATCTGTCCGTCCCCATTGGTGTCAAACTACGGACAAGGTCCTGTTGCCACCGACCACTCCTGGCACGCTGACAGCCTACCTGTCTGTCCCCACCGCCCCCATACCTCACGGAAGGCGTCACGCAGCTCCTTGATCCCAATCATATCCGCCGTCTCCGCCAGCATCTTAGGGCCCATCAGCTCCACGAAATCATCAAAATCCACCTTGCCCCCGGCTGCGGCGGGAGAGGGGTGTCAGCAGGGCGTGGGGCAGGGACTGATGGGCATCTGCTGCCCCACCACATACTGATCTGCTGGGACAGCTCGATGAGCTCCATCTCCGTGGGCATGTAGCCCATGGTCCGCATGCATTCGCCCAGGTCCTTGTAGCTGATGTAGCCGTCGTGGTCCTTGTCAAACTCCCGGAACGCCTGCTTCAGCTCTGAGGACACCACAGTGTCACCACCCAGCACCCCAGCACTGCCACCCACCCGAGCGGGACTCCCTCCCCAGCGCCTCACCTTCGATCTCCTCGGGCCGCAGCTCCCGGTCCTGGGGCAGAGAAAATGGGAAGAGAAAATGAGAAGAGACAAAGGAGAGGTCCTACTCCCAGGGATCCCACAGGGATTCTGCCCTAAGCCCCCCGGGAGCACAGGCAGCCCACGGGAGGGGACAGTCACGTACCCGTTGGGTGATGGCGATGCTCTGCCGCAGGAAGATGCAGGCCGGCCCCACCAGCCCCTGCAGCACCGAGTATCCCTGCATCGGGGGTGTCTGCGCCGCGTCCAGCATGTCCTCAGGGTCCCCTGTGCCAGAGCCTGGAGCGCCTGAACGTGGCTTCCCATCCTGCGGGTGGAGCAGGCATCAGCGGCGAGGGGGGGCCAAGCAGGGACCCCCTCCTCCTCCTCCTCCTCCAGCCCCGCGGGGTGTCACAACCCTGCCGTACCTTGGGGAGCCGCCGCTCAGGGGTCTTGGTGCAGTTGCCCATGGCTGGGGGCTGCCCCCACGCCGCAGGACATGCCTGGCCCCGGGGGGGCTGGCTGGCGCAGACCGTGGGGCTGCCACCGGGGATTTGAGGTTTTTATGGAATATCTGGGGATATGCAGGGCAGGCGCGGGGGGGTGGGTGCCGCGCCCGCGTGCATAATCCTCCGGATTATTCCCGCTCGGCCGCCCTGCTCCAGATGTGGGCAGCCGCCCAGCTGTTCCCCACTCCCGCAGCCTCCCTGCGAGGGCACGCAGGATCCCCGGCACCCACCGTGCCCCGGCCCTGTCCCCGCCGCCGGTTACCTGCCCAAAAGCGGGGGGCGGCCGGGGCCCCGGCTCCTCGGCAGCCCGCTGAAGCTCCACGGGGGACGCACCACTACGGCTTAACCTCCCCTGGCTGCCCGCAGTGCCGGCGGTGCCGGGACGCCTGAGCCAAGGGCCCGGGCGGGAGCCGCGGGCAGCCCTTCGGCCGGGGCCGTGGCACCGGGGGGCGCCCCGGCAGGTGGGGGGCGCGGGGCTGCCAGCGCCGCGCCGCTGCGGCCCGCGGAAGAGGAAGAACATTCCGCCCGCTCCCGCTGCTTCTCCCCAGGACCGGGGCCAAGCAGGAGGAAACCAGATCGCCCCGAAACTGCGCTCGGCCCTCGCAGGGACGAGGCCAGCGCCGTCCCCGGGACCCGCCGTGCAGCGCAGGAGATCGGGTGGAGCGCAGCAACCCCCCGGGGCGCTGGAGGGGGGGGAGCGGGGCGCCCCGGGGGGTTCCGGGGGGGCGGACGGGGGGCTCCGGTTTCAGAGCCGAAACCCGACCCGGGCCCGGGCGCGGGGCACGTGCCGGCGCGCCGCCGGCGAGGCCACGCCCCCTCGGCGGCCTCGAACCCGCCTTGCGACCGCGCCCCCCGCTCTGGCCCCGCCCCCAAACCGGCCCCGGTCCGGCCTCTCTCGTGACGTCACTGCAGCGCCGCCGGCGCTCCCCTTACGTCACCGCGGGGGCGGCTGAAGGTGACGGTGGTCGGTGCCGGCGCCGGTTCCCCCCGCCATGGCCGGCAGGCAGCTGCTGGCGCTGCGGCGCCTGCCCGCCGCCTCCTTCTCGGTGAGCGGGGACGGGGCGGGCAGCGCCGGGACCGTGCGGTACCGGTCCCGGTGTTCCCGGTGCTGAATCGGTGTGTCCCCGCAGACGGCGCCCAAGAAGACGCAGTTCGGGTCGCTGCGGGATGAGGACCGGATCTTCACCAACCTCTACGGGCGGCACGACTGGCGGTGAGTAGCGGGAACAGCGTGGGGAGCGCCGGTGCCCCGGGCTCAGCGCCCGGTGCCACCGTGCCCGGTGCCCGCAGGCTGCAGGGCGCGCTGCGCCGCGGCGACTGGTACAAGACGAAGGAGATCCTGCTCAAGGGCGTGGACTGGATCCTCGGCGAGATCAAGACCTCGGGGCTGCGGGGCCGCGGCGGTGCCGGGTTCCCCACCGGGCTCAAGTGGAGCTTCATGAACAAACCCCCGGACGGGAGGTGAGACCGGGACCGCCCACAGCGCCGGTACCGCGGCCCCGCCCTGCGGGAAGCCCCCCCTGACGTGAGCTGCCCGCAGACCCAAGTACCTGGTGGTGAACGCGGACGAGGGCGAGCCGGGCACCTGCAAGGACCGGGAGATCATGCGGCACGACCCGCACAAGCTGCTGGAGGGCTGCCTGGTGGCGGGGCGGGCCATGGGCGCCCGCGCCGCCTACATCTACATCCGCGGCGAGTTCTACAACGAGGCCTCCAACCTGCAGGTGGGGGAAGCCCCCCACAGCCACCCCACACCCCCTGGCATGGCCGGGGGCGCTCCTGGGCTCACCCCGTGCCCCGCTGCAGGTGGCCATCCGTGAGGCCTACGAGGCCGGGCTGCTGGGCGGCGACGCCTGCGGGTCGGGATACGCCTTTGACGTGTTCGTGGTGCGCGGTGCCGGAGCCTACATCTGTGGGGAGGAGACGGCGCTCATCGAGTCCATTGAGGGCAAGCAGGGGAAGCCCCGCCTCAAGCCCCCATTCCCCGCTGACGTGGGTACGGCCCCACTGCTCTGAGTTCCCAGCTGCCACCCCAAAACAGTTGTCCCCAGGACACTGTCCTGCTGCAGGGACAACACCACAGCCAACACCCTGTCCATTAAGGGCTCCCACTGCTTCATAGAATGGTGTGGGTTGGAAAGGAGCTGAAAAGATTGTCTCATTCCACCCTGCTTCCATGGGCTGCAAATCATAATCCCAGATTGCTCCAAGCCCTGTTGAACCTTGCCTTGGACACTTCCAGGGATTCGGCAATCACAGCACCTTTGGGCCACTTGTGCCAGGGCATCACCACCCTCACAGGGAGGAATTTTTTCCTAATGTCTTCCCAGGTGTGTTTGGCTGCCCCACCACGGTGGCCAACGTGGAGACGGTGTCAGTGGCTCCCACGATCTGCCGGCGTGGTGGCGCCTGGTTCGCCAGCT